ACGTCAACCTGTGCTTATGGCTCTCTGTGTGACGAACTGATTCGAGATAGACTGGTCATTGGAATCAAAAGCCATGAAGTCAGAACACGACTACTCCATGAGAAGGCTCTCACTCTCAATACAGCCTTAGACGTAATTAGAGCTGCAGAAACAGCCAGCGATCAGCTGAAAAAGATTGATGGAGAAATAGAAACTTCAGCACACGCTGTCAAGTACAAAGGAAAGAAACCAGACTTGACACGACGAGTCTAAGCGGTGAAACAGTGTAAATATTGTGGAACGAACCACAATTTACACCAGTGTCCGGCTTATGGGAAAAAATGCCGCAAGTGTAACATGAAGAACCATTTTGCTAAGTTGTGCAGAAGTCGAGATCAAGAGATCAAGAATCTCAAAGGAGAACACAGAAACCTGTGAAGAGCTTTTCCAAGAAACCCACGAGGTGAATTCGTCGAATCGAAGAAGTCGAACCAGCGATCACTGATGATTAAGTTTACTGCAAGTATTCAGTCATTGACAGCAGCCGTTCTAAATACATGATTGAACCTCAGCTAAGAAGTGAACAGACCAGTAATTGGATTGAGGTTATCATGCAGATTGATAGCGGATCAGAGGTTAATTGTTTGAGAATGGAAGATTTTGTAAAGATTCAAAACCGACCAGGTTTGAAGAAAACTCGTGCCATTTTGAAAGTATACAATGATGAACGTGTGTTTCCCAAAGGTGAAGTCTACCTTGACATCCAGATTGGTGGAAAAATAACCAGCGCAAAATTCGTAGTGATTGATGATGCTCCAAGTTCACCGTTATCAGGAAAAACATGTGAGGAGTTGGAACTCCTGTCTATTAAAGGAGAATTACTCGTCGACTCAGTTTCTGACGTGAAAGGGTCGACCAAGGATGCTATTTTACGAGAACACAACGATGTATTCACTGGACTAGGGTACATTGGAAACTACAAGACTGAACTGACAGAAGGAACAGTACCGAAAAAAGATGCGCCTAGAACCGTACCCGTCGCACTGAGAGACGATCTCAAGAAGAAACTTTATGAAATGGAGCAGAAAGGCCACATAGCGAACATTGATGAACCAACTGGGTGAGCAGTGCAGTATATGTGAAGAAGCGCAACGGCCAACTGCGTGTTTGCCTTGATCCCAGAGAATTGAACAAGCATGTCAAAATACCAAAGCTCTGCCTTCCAACCATTGATGATGTGACCTTTAGGCTTGCTAAAGCACAAGTGTTCACAGTCCTGGATGCTGAAGATGGGTTTCTACGAGTGAAGCTAGATGAATACTCTAGCAAATTAACAACATTTCACACTCCTTTTGGTAGATACAAGTGGCGTAGGATGCCCTTCGGCATATGTAGTGCACCAGAAGAATTTCAGAGACATGTTTATGAAATTATTGAGGGCCTGGAAGGAGTTGCTGCTATAGCTGATGACCTGTTAGTAACTGGAGCAGGAAACACCCATGAAGAAGCCTTAGCAGACCAGGACAGGAATCTGATTGCGTTGCTACAAAGATTCAGTGAGCGAAACTGAACAAGGACAAGTTCGTCTTCAAACAACAGAAGTCGAAGTACTGTGGTCATATCTTGACTTCTGAGGGTATTTTACCACACCCGTCAAAGTTGAGGCCATCACTCAGATGCCGATACCACGCAGTAAGACTGAGGTGAGAAGACTACTTGGAATGATCAATTATCTGGGCAAATCTTTACCTCAGCTGTCTGACGTATCTGAACCTCTCAGAAACCTAACCAAGGAGCAAAACCAATTCATTTGGTCGAACGTTCACCAAGATGCCTTTAACAAGTTGACTCAGCTGATTTCGGAACCGCCAATACTCCGTTACTATGACTTGGAGGAAGAAGTGACAATTGAGACAGATGCAAGTGACTATGGACTAGGAGCTGTTCTGCTTCAAGCCGGCAGACCAGTGGCATTTGCTAGTCGCACTATGACTGAGACTGAGAGACGTTACTCTCAGATCGAGAAAGAATGCCTCGCACTGGTGTTTGGTTGTACACGATTTGACCACCATCTCCATGGAAGGGAAAACATTACAGCAGTCACAGATCATAAGCCTCTGGAAAAAAACCATACTTGCCAAAAGTATCAACAGCGCGCCCAAGAGGTTACAACCCATGATGCTGCGACTGCAAAAGTACCACCTAAATATTGTGCACAAAAAGGGGACTCAAATGTACACAACTGATCATCTGTGAGGATCTGCTCTCCAAAACGGCCGAACACACTCCGCTCACCTAGAAGCAGAGGGATGCATGAGACTCGCGAGAGATACATTGTAATGGCCATCGATTCGTCATGATATCAAATATCTCTGCGATAACTGTTCAATGCCAGGAAGCTAGATCAACTGACAGAAGGAGCAGTACCGAAACAAGATGCGCCTAGAACCGTACCCGTCGCACTGAGAGACGATTTCAAGAAGAAACTTCGTGAAATGGAGCAGATCAACCTAGAGAAACCATGCAGAGCCAGCCTATTGCAAAGAGAAGACGAGAAATAGTCAGTACTGATCTTTTCAATGTGAAGAAAGACGTCTACCTGGTAGTTGTGGATAATCTCACAAAATACTTGGACTTAGAGCAAGTGAATGATACTGATGCTGAGTCCACAATCTTACAGATGAAGAAGATTTTCGCCCGGCAGGGAGTCCCTGTGGTGATGATATCAGACAATGGTCCTCGATATGCTTGCAAGGAATTTAAGGGGGTTTTCAAAGAGTTGGAACTTTCATCACTATACCTCTTCACCACACCATCCAAAAGGAAACGGTACAGCGGAAGCTGCACTCAAACAAGCTAAGAGGATACTCAAGATGAGTCACGACCCCTGGATGGCTATTTTGGAACAAAGGAATACACCTGATGAGTTGGCATCACCAAATGAGAAACTGAATTCCAGAAGAACAAGAACAGTAGTACCAGTGAAATCAGAGTTACTTGAACCCCATGTGATACCAACCTCAAGCATCATGCGAGCTTCCGTCAAGATGAAGCAACAGAACAATAGGTACCATGATAAGAGAGGAAAGCCGCAACCCCCTCTTGTTGTAGGAGATAGTATTTGCGCCAAGATCAGGCCTCGGTCGTCGCCCCTGTGGACACGAGGAAGTGTGGTCAGAAGAAAATCTGACAGATCCTACATAGTGAGGGCCGATGGCCGTGAGTACAGGAGACATCGGTGTCATATCATGAAAACTAGAGAAATGACAACGCCCAAAGTCGTTGTTACATACCCTTCTTTGGACTCTCCTGTGGGCCTACCCACACAGTCAGATGCAGCCTTGCCAACTGCCCCACAGCCAAAATTCATAGAATTACCTGGAGTTAACACTGAAAGAGGACAAATGCAGTTGAGTGACAGAAACATTAAATTAAAATCAGAACCAGTACCGATTCGACGAGGTGTAAGAAGATAACAGAGACAAGTCAAGCCAAACTCAAAGTATTAAGACTTCGTTCTGTGTAAATAACCTTAGAGACATTTCAGAGACTGCAAGAAGCAATGTGACTTCTCGTGATTTCCTTAATGAACTGTTCGTCAGTCTTTGTAAAGAAGAGAGGATGTAGTGTGACCCTTCAAGAATGTTTTACAAGTAGCTGTGTCATACTGAGTCATCCCCAAATCAATATATAAATAGAATCTGCTGTAATGTTACGGAACGTTCTAGATCCTCCACAATACCTATAAACGCCAAGCTTGTAACTAGATGTAGCGAGTAGTTTAGTTGCTGGTATAGCCCGACAGATATCAATAAAGGTGAATGCTGCAGAATACAAGACGTCCACACTTCATGCTGTCAGGAAGTGAATTACAAAACTGAAGATAAATTTCGTCGATCCAGGCGAAGACAGAAGAAATAATCGCGGGCGCTAAAAGAATCCAGTGGTGTTATTGGACAGACCAGACGCCTTAACACTGCCACTTGTGAAATTTGAAGTGAATTTCGAGGTTCACACATTGTGGAAACTGCATTTCTGCGAAAGGCCAGAGACTGGCATACACTTAGCGAACGTCTCACGAGGACAACAAAAGAATGGACCCTCTGGCGCAAGAGAATCCTCTAGAAGCACCTCTAGCGCAACCTATTGTGCCACCTGCACAGATGATGATGTATAGTCAGTTACCAATGCCACCTCCAGTGAGTCTCGAGGGGATCCTGGCAGAGAACCGGACTTTTTTCAGAGAGAGTTGGGAGAGTCATAAGATAGCGACTGAACTTGATAAGAAACCCAAACCAGTCATTTTGGAAACTCTTAAGATAGTTCTGGGTAGAGAAACTTACCAAATAGCTAAAAAATCTGCCTGTAGCTGATCGCACAGATCCTGATAGTTTCTTGCAGGCCCTGGCGCAGTATTTTGAACCACAGAGGAATACTATTTTTGAGCGTTACGATGAAAATATCGATCAATACCTGAACCGACTGCGAAAGCAAGCGTCAACCTGTGCTTATGGCTCTCTGTGTGACGAATTGATTCGAGACAGACTGGTCATTCGAATCAAAAGCTATAAAGTCAGAAGACGACTACTCCGTGAGAAGGCTCTCACTCTCAATACAGCCCTAAGCATAATTAGAGCTGCAGAAACAGCCAGCGATCAACTGAAAAAGATTGATGGAGAAATAGAAACTTCAGCACACGCTGTCAAGTACAAAGGAAAGAAACCAGACTTGACACGACGTGTCTAAGCGGTGCAACAATGTAAATATTGTGGAACGTACCACAATTTACGCTAGTGTCCGGCTTATGGAAAAAATGCAGCAAGTGTAACATGAAGAACCCTTTTGCTAAGATGTGCAGAAGTCGCGATCAAGAATCTCAACGGAGAACACAGAAACCTGTGAAGAGCTTTTCCAAGAAACCCACCAGGAGAATTCATCGAATTGAAGAAGTCGAACCAGCGATCACTGATGATGAAGTTTAATGCAAGCATTCAGTAATTGACAGCAGCCGTTCTAAATACATGATTGAACCTCAGCTGAGAAGTGAACAGACAAGTAATTGGATTGAGGTGACCATGCAGATTGATAGCGGATCAGAGGCTAATTGTTTGAGAATGGAAGATTTTGTAAAGATTCAAAACCGACCAGATTTGAAGAAAACTCGTGCCATTTTGAAAGTGTACAATGAAGAACGTGTGTTTCCCAAAGGTGAAGTCTATCTTGACATCCAGATTGGTGGAAAAATAACCAGAACAAAATTCTTAGTGATTGATGATGCTCCAAGTTCACCGTTCTCAGGAAAAACATATGAGGAGTTCGAACTCCTGTCTATTAAAAGAGAATTACTCGTCGACTCAGTTTCTGACGTGGAAAGGTTGACCAAGGATGCTATTTTACGAGAACACAACGATGTATTCACTAGGCTGAGGTACATTGGAAACTACAAGACTGAACTGACAGAAGGAGCAGTACCGAAGCGAGATGCACCTAGAACCGTATCCGTCGCACTGAGAGACGATCTCAAGAAGAAACTTCATGAAATAGAGCAGAAAGGCCACATAGCGAAAGTTGAAGAACCAACAGACTGGATGAGCAGTGCAGTATATGTGAAGAATCGCAATGGCCAACTACATGTTTGCCTGGATCCCAGAGAATTGAACAAGCATGTCAAAATACCAAAGCTCTGCCTTCCAACTATCGATGATGTGACCTCCAAGCTTGCTAAAGCGCAAATGTTTACAGTCCTGGACGCTAAAGATGGGTTTCTGCGAGTGAAGCTAGACAAGGACTCTAGCAAATTAACAACATTTCACACTCCTTTTGGTAGACACAAGTGGCGTAGGATGCCCTTCGGCATATGTAGTGCATCAGAAGAATTTCAGAGACATGTAAATGAGGTCATTGAGGGCCTAGAAGGAGTTGCTGCTATAGCTGATGACCTGTTAGTAACTGGAGCAGGAAACACCCATCTAGAAGCCTTAGCAGACCATGACAGAAATCTGATTGCGTTGCTACAAAGATTCAGGGAGCGAAACTTCAAACTGAACAAGGACAAGTTCGTCTTCAAACAAACAGAAGTCGAAGTACTGTGGTCATATCTTGACTTCTGAGGGTATTTTACCACACCCGGCCAAAGTTGAAGCCATCGCCCAGATGCCGATACCACGCAGTAAGACTGAGGTGAGAAGACTACTTGGAATGATCAATTATCTGGGCAAATTTTTACCTCAGCTGTCTGACGTATCTGAACCTCTCAAAAGCCTAACCAAGGAGCAAAACCAATTCATTTGGTCGAACGTTCACCAAGATGCCTTTAACAAGTTGACTCAGCTGATTTCGGAACCGCCACTACTCCGTTACTACGACTTGGAGGAAAAAGTAACAATTGAGACAGATGCAAGTGACTATGGACTAGGAGCTGTTCTGCTTCAAGCCAGCAGACCAGTGGCATTTGCTAGTCGCACTATGACTGAGACTGAGAGACGTTACTCTCAGATCGAGAAGGAAAGCCTTGCACTGATGTTTGGTTGTACACGATTTGACCACCATCTCCATGGAAGGGAAAACATTGCAGCAGTCACAGATCATAAGCCTCTGGAAAAAACCATACTTGCCAAAAGTATCAACAGCGCGCCCAAGAGGTTACAACGCATGATGCTGCGACTGCAAAAGTACCGCCTGAATATTGTGTACAAAAAGGGAACTCAGATGTACATAAGTGATCATCTGTCAAGATCTGCCCTCCCAAACGGCCGAACGCAAAAGAAGGAAATAGGTGATTACGAAGTCTTCACAATTCACGCAGAAGAACTTCTCATGAAAGAGATGGAAGGAACAGATCCAAATATCTTTCATAACATGACAGATACAACCCTTCAGAAAGTAATAACAGCAACCTCAAAAGATGGAAATCTCATGACCTTAGCTGACGTTGTAGCTAATGGATGACCTGAGGACGAGACGCAACTACTAAGCAATGTCCAAGACTACTGGCCGTGCAGAAATGAATTAGCAGTTCAGGTTGGAATAATCTACAGAGGAATGAAAGTGCTCATTCCCACGGCTATGCACCCTCAGATGTTAGAAAAAACACTCTCCGCTCACCTAGGAGCAGAGCGATGCATGAGACTCGCGAGAGATGCATTGTATTGGCCATCGAATTCATCATGATATCAAGTATCTCTACGATATCTGTTCAATTTGTCAGGAAGCTAAGCCAGATCAACTTAGAGAAACCATGCAGAGCCAGCCTACTTCAAAGAGAAGATGGCAAATAGTCAGTACTGATCTTTTCGATGTGAAGAAAGACGTCTACTTGATAGTTGTGGATAATCTCACAAAATACTGAGACTTAGAGCAACTGAATGATACTGATGCTGAGTCCACAATCTTACAGATGAAGAACATTTTCACCCGGCAGGGAGTCCCTGAGGTGGTGATATCAGACAATGGTCCTCAATATGCTAGCAAGGAACTTAAGGAGTTTTCAAAGAGTTGGAACTTTCATCACTATACCTCTTCACCACACCATCCAAAAGGAAACGGTACAGCGGAAGCTGCACTCAAACAAGCTAAGAGGATACTCAAGATGAGTCACCACCCCTGGATGGCTATTTTGGAACAAAGGAATACACCTGATGAGTTGGCATCACCGAATGAGAAATTGAATTCAAGAAGAACAAGAACAGTTATACCAGTGAAATCAGAGTTACTTGAACCCTACGTGATACCAACCTCAAGCATCATACGAGCTTCAGTCAAGAAGAAGCAACAGAACAAGAGGTACCATAATAAGAAAGGAAAGCCGCCACACCCTCTTGTTGTAGGAGATAGTATTCGCGCCAAGATCAGGCCTCAGTCGTCGCCCCTGTGGACACGAGGAAGTGTGGTCAGAAGAAAATCTGACAGATCCTACATAGTGAGGGCCGATGACCGTGAGTACAGGAGACTTCGTTGTCACATCAGGAAAACTAGAGAAATGACAATGCCCAAACTCGTTGTTACACACCCTTCTTTAGACTCTCCTGTGGGTCCACCCACACAGTCAGATGCAGCCTTTCCAACTGCCCCACAGCCAAAATTCATAGAATTATCTGGAGTTAACATTGAAACAGGACAAATGCAGTTGAGTGACAGAAAAATTAAATCAAAATCAGAACTAGTACCGATTCGACGAGGCGTAAGAAGATCACAGAGACAAGTCAAGCCAAACTCAAAGTATTAAGACTTCGTTCTGTTTAAATAACCTTAGAGACATTTAAGAGACTGCAAGAAGCAATGTGACTTCTCGTGATTTCCTTAATGAAATGTTCGTCAGTCTTTGTAAAGAAGAGAGGATGTAGTGTGACCCTTCAAGAATGTTCTAGAAGTAGCTGTGTCATACTGAGTCATCCCCGAATCAATATATAAATATAATCTGATGTAATGTTACGGAACGTTCTAGATCCTCGACCGTACCTATAAACGCCGAGCTTGTAACTAGATGTAGCGAGTAGTTTAGTTGCTGGTATAGCCCGACAGATATCAATAAAGGTGAATGCTGCAGAATACAAGACGTCCACACTTCATGCTGTCAGGAAGTGAATTACAAAACTGAAGATAAATTTCGTCGATCCAGGCGAAGACAGATGAAATAATCGCGGGCGCTAAAAGAATCCAGTGGTGTTATTGAACAGACCAGACGTCTTAACACTGCCACTTGTGAAATTTGAAGTGAATTTCGAGGTTCACACATTGAGGAAACTGCATTTCTGCGAAAGGCAAGAGCCTAGCTTACACTTAGCGAACGTCTCACGAGGACAACAAAAGAATGGACCCTCTGGCGCAAGTGAATCCTCCAGAAGCACCTCTAGCGCAACCTATTGTGTTACCTACACAGATGATGATGTATAGTCAGTTACCGATGCCACCTCCAATGAGTCTCAAGGGGATCCTGGCAGAGAACCGGACTTTTTTCAGAGAGAGTTGGGAGAGTCATGAGATAGCGACTGAACCTGATAAGAAACCCAAACCAGTCATTTTGGAAACTCTTAAGATAGTTCTGGGTAGAGAAACTTACCAAATAGCTAAAAATCTGCCTGTAGCTGATCGCACAGATCCTGATGGTTTTCTTGCAGGCCCTGACGCAGTATTTTGAACCACAGAGGAATACTATTTTTGAGCGTTACCTGTTGAAGAATGCCAACCAAGAAAATGGCAACATCGATCAATACCTGAACTGACTGCGAAAGCTAGCGTCAACCTGTGCTTATGGCGCTCTGTGTGACGAACTGATTCCAGACAGACTGGTCATTGGAATCAAAAGCCATGAAGTCAGAAGACGACTACTCCGTGAGAAGGCTCTCACTCTCCATACAGCCTTAAGCATAATTAGAGCTGCAGAAACAGCCAGCGATCAACTGAAAACGATTGATGGAGAAATAGAAACTTCAGCACACGCTGTCAAGTACAAAGGAAAGAAACCACACTTGACACGACGAGTCTAAGCGGTGAAACAGTGTAAATATTGTGGAACATACCACAATTTACGCCAGTATCCGGCTTATGGAAAAAAATGCAGCAAGTGTAACATGAAGAACCCTTTTGCTAAGATGTGCAGAAGTCGAGAATCTCAAAGGAGAACACAGAAACCTGTGAAGAGCTTTTCCAAGAAACCTACGAGGAGAATTCATCGAATTGAAGAAGTCGAACCAGCCATCACTGATGATGAAGTTTACTGCAAGAATTCAGTCATTGACAGCAGCCGTTCTAAATACATGATTGAACCTCAGCTGAGAAGTGAACAGACCAGTAATTGGATTGAGGTGACCACGCAGATTGATAGCGGATCAGAGGCTAATTGTTTGAGAATAGAAGATTTTGTAAAGATTCAAAACCGACCAGATTTGAAGAAAACTCGTGCCATTTTGAAAGCATACAATGAAGAACGTGTGTTTCCCAATGGTGAAGTCTATCTTGACATCCAGATTGGTGGAAAAATAACCAGTGCAAAATTCTTAGTGATTGATGATGCTCCAAGTTCACCGTTATCAGGAAAAACATGTGAGGAGTTGGAACTCCTGTCTATTAAAGGAGAATTACTCGTCGACTCAGTTTCTGACGTGAAAGGGTCGACCAAGGATGCTATTTTACGAGAACACAACGATGTATTCACTGGGCTAAGGTACATTGGAAACTACAAGACTGAACTGACAGAAGGAGCAGTACCGAAACAAGATAAGCCTAGAACCGTACCCGTCGCACTGAGAGACGATCTCAAGAAGAAACTTCATGAAATAGAGCAGAAAGGCCACATAGCGAAAGTTGATGAACCAACAGACTGGGTGAGCAGTGCAGTATATGTGAAGAAGCGCAATGGCCAACTGCGTGTTTGCCTGGATCCCAGAGAATTGAACAAGCATGTCAAAATACCAAAGCTCTGCCTTCCAACTATCGATGATGTGACCTCCAGGCTTGCTAAAGCGCAAATGTTTACAGTCCTGGACGCTAAAGATGGGTTTCTGCGAGTGAAGCTGGACAAGGACTCTAGCAAATTACCAACATTTCACACTCCTTTTGGTAGATACAAATGGCCTAGGATGCCCTTCGGCATATGTAGTGCACCAGAAGAATTTCAGAGACATGTAAATGAAATCATTGAGGGCCTAGAAGGAGTAGCTGCTATAGCTGATGACCTGTTAGTAACTGGAGCAGGAAACACCCATCTAGAAGCCTTAGCAGACCATGACAGAAATCTGATTGCGTTGCTACACAGATGCAGGGAGCGAAACTTCAAACCGAACAAGGACAAGTTCGTCTTCAAACAACAGAAGTCGAAGTACTGTGGTCATATCTTGACTTCTGAGGGTATTTTACCAGACCCAGCCAAAGTTGAAGCCATCACTCAGATGCCGATACCACGCAGTAAGACTGAGGTGAGAAGACTACTTGGAATGATCAATTATCTGGGCAAATTTTTAACTCAGCTGTCTGACGTATCTGAACCTCTCAAAAGCCTAACCAAGGAGCAAAACCAATTCATTTGGTCGAACGTTCACCAAGATGCCTTTAACAAGTTGACTCAGCTGATTTCAGAACCGCCACTACTCCGTCACTACGACTTGGAGGAAAAAGTAACAATTGAGACAGATCCAAGTGACTATGGACTAAGAGCTGTTCTGCTTCAAGCCGGCAGACCAGTGGCATTTGCTAGTCGCACTATGACTGAGACTGAGAGACGTTACTCTCAGATCGAGAAGGAATACCTCGCACTGCTGTTTGATTGTACACGATTTGACCACCATCTCCATGGAAGGGAAAACATTACAGCAGTCACAGATCATAAGGCTCTAGAAACCATACTTGCCAAAAGTATCAACAGCGCGCCCAAGAGGTTACAACGCATGATGCTGCGACTGCAAAAGTACCGCCTGAATATTGTGTACAAAAAGGGAACTCAGATGTACATAAATGATCATCTGTCAAGATCTGCCCTCCCAAACGGCCGAACGCAAAAGAAGGAAATAGGTGATTACGAAGTCTTCACAATTCACGCAGAAGAACTTCTCATGAAAGAGATGGAAGGAACAGATCCAAATATCTTTCATAACATGACAGATACAACCCTTCAGAAAGTAATAACAGCAACCTCAAAAGATGGAAATCTCATGACCTTAGCTGACGTTATAGCTAATGAATGGCCTGAGGACAAGACGCAAGTACCGCCCAATGTCCGAGACTACTGGCCGTATAGAGATGAACTAGCAGTTCAGGATGGAATAATCTACGGAGGAACGAGAGTGGTCATTCCCACGGCTATGCGCCCACAGATGTTAGAAAAAACACACTCCGCTCACCTAGGAGCAGAGGGATGCATGAGACTCGCGAGAGATACATTGTATTGACCATCGATTCATCATGATATCAAATATCTCTGCGATAACTGTTCAATGCCAGGAAGCTAGATCAACTGACAGAAGGAGCAGCACCGAAACAAGATGCGCCTAGAACCGTACCCGTCGCACTGAGAGACGATTTCAAGAAGAAACTTCATGAAGTGGAGCAGATCAACCTAGAGAAGCCGTGCAGAGCCAACCTACTTCAAAGAAAAGATGGCAAATAGTCAGTACTGATCTTTTCAATGTGAAGAAAGACGTCTACCTGGTAGTTGTGGATAATCTCACAAAATACTGTGACTTAGAGCTAATGAATGATACTGACGCTGGGTCCACAATCTTACAGATGAAGAACATTTTCGCCCGGCAGGGAGTCCCTGAGGTGGTGATATCAGACAATGGTCCTCAATATGCTAGCAAGGAACTTAAGGAGTTTTCAAAGAGTTGGAACTTTCATCACTATACCTCTTCACCACACCATCCAAAAGGAAACGGTACAGCGGAAGCTGCACTCAAACAAGCTAAGAGGATACTCAAGATGAGTCACCACCCCTGGATGGCTATTTTGGAACAAAGGAATACACCTGATGAGTTGGCATCACCGAATGAGAAATTGAATTCAAGAAGAACAAGAACAGTTATACCATTGAAATCAGAGTTACTTGAACCCCACGTGATACCAACCTCAAGCATCATACGAGCTTCAGTCAAGAAGAAGCAACAGAACAAGAGGTACCATAATAAGAAAGGAAAGCCGCTACACCCTCTTGTTGTAGGAGATAGTATTCACGCCAAGATCAGGCCTCAGTCGTCGCCCCTGTGGACACAAGGAAGTGTGGTCAGAAGAGAATTTGACAGATCCCACATAGTGAAGGCCGATGGCCGTGAGTACAAGGGGAATCGGTGTCACATCAGGAAAACTAGAGAAATGACAACGCCCAAACTCGTTGTTACATACCCTTCTTTATACTCTCCTGTGGGCCCACCCACACAGTCAGATGCAGCCTTGCCAACTGCTCCACAGCCAAAGTTCATAGAAGTACCTGGAGTCAACATTGAAACAGGACAAATGAAGTTGAGTGACATAAAAATTAAATCAAAATCAGAACCAGTACCAATTCGACAAGGCGTAAGAAGATCACAGAGACAAGTCAAGCCAAACTCAAAGTACAAAGACTTCGTTCTGTTTAAATAACCTTAGAGACATTTAATAGACTGCAATAGGCAATGTCATTTCTCATGATTTACCTAATAAACTGTTCGTCGGTTTGTAAAGAAGAGAGGATGTAGTGTGACTTTCAAAAATGTTCTAGAAGTAGCTGTGTCATACTGAGTCATACCCGAATCAATATTTAAATAGAATCTGCTGTAATGTTACGGAACGTTCTAGATCCTCGACCGTACCTATAAAAGCCGAGCTTGTAACTAGATGTAGCGAGTAGTTTAGTTGCTGGTATAGCCCGACAGATATCAATAAAGGTGTATGCTGCAGAATACAAGACGTCCACACTTCAGTTACCGATATTGCGAACTATGAGGTTTGAATCCTCACCTCAATTAACCTAAATCTTTTCTTCTACTCCACTGTGAGAACATTTTGTAGCCATGTTGACTATAATGAGATTTGAATCCTCACGAATGTCCACGCAAATTTCTTCTTCTGCCACATTCACCACAAATTTGTCTTTCTACTCTGCTGTAAAAACGTTTTGTAGCGACGTTGACTATAATGAGGTTTGAATTCTCAATAATGTCCAAGAGTGTTCGAATCCTCACAAGGGGCTCAGATTGTCATGATTTTTCTTTTACTGTGTAATATGCGGTACCTTGTGATTTTTGATCCAACTTGTCGCCTGAGAGTGAAATGTCTTTTACAGAAACACAATCCTTGAGCTGAAAAACAAATAAGAATGCTTCAAATTAATGACTTATGTTTATACACCTTCACATAAAATCAAAATCTCTAAATTTCATTCACCTTCTGTTGTAAATTACTTAATACTTAATTTCCAAAAATAGGTAAGCTTATTGAGAAATAAACATATGAAAAAATTACTAGGAATTTAACATTTTTTTTATCGTGTTAATGTTAGGCTTAAAAGGGTTCCGACCCTAATCTTTCTTCTTTTCCAGATATAAGCCTTTCTTGATAGTCCTTGAAATGTACTTGCAGTTTAAATTCAAAATTTCAGATGCATTTTAAATCGTTACTTAAAGGTGACCCACTAACTGATTTGAACAGCTCATCCATACTTAATGAATTTTCAATATCTATTGTACAATCCTTACCTAAATAGCTAAACAGCTCTCATTATAGGTAAAGCTCTGTTGATTGGTCCACTAAATGACTGGCCACAATAACTGCATCTGAAAAACCTTTTGATGGCATACTCAAGAAGCAAACAACATACAATTTTTAGTGTGATACAGAAACAATAACTGTACGAGATTCGTAAACGTCAGCAGATACATTATCAGACAGCAACATGTTTAGATCTGAGGTTTGAATCCTCGTGAGAGCCGACCAGACATTTTCATTTTGCAAAGGTCGACACACTTTATCTTCTGCTCAGTCGGTAGAGGATATGATACTGATATTGCTCCATCTGAGGTTTGAATCCTCAAGTACAGTTACCCAGAAATTTGCCTTTCTATACTCAGCTGTGCGAGCGTTTTCTGGCGTTGTTGACTAAAATGAGGTTTGAATCCTCACGAATGTCCACCCAAATTTCTTCTTCTGTCCATCTGGTAAAGCAGATAGCGAAGTTTTATGGTCTAAGGTTGGAATCCTTATGGAAGTTGACTAAGTTGTTGCTTTTTTTGCTTACCTAATACAGTGATGAGCAACTTCCCCGAGAGATATTTTGGATTGATTAATCCTTGTGGTCCCTCTCAAGTAAAGCTCTGGAAGCTTCAGTCGCCATCATTGAGTTATGCGGAGACCAATTTGTCTCTTTCTTTATAGTTAAGGTGGACCGGCAATGGTTTTTGTATTCCTTTGACTTTGGATGTCAAATATACCGGAGAAAGGAGAAATGCAATCCCCGCTTGAATAAAGACACAGTCCTCTGGTGGTTACAGCCGACAACCGAAATGGGTCTGGCCTCCGGGTTTGAGACCTATTTAACGGCTTATTGCTCATATCAAAAACAAAAGAAAGATAAATAAAAAAAAAAAAAGCAAAAGTGATACGAGCTCACGCCGAGGTACCAGAGGGTAAGACCGAAGTATGGGCAATCTGCACTGCACCTCTCCTCGGGACGCGAAAATAGACAAGCACTGAGTGGAACGCACGAAACTTTCCACCCAGCTGGGATCGCCTTTCATGGGCGGACTGCTTGAGGTTCGAATCCTCACAAGGGACTCAGATTGCCTTTTTTTTTCTTTTACTATCCTATCAATGGCACCTTTGATCTCTGTGATGCACCTTGTCGTCTCAGAGTGCAATTTCCTTTACAGAAACACGATCCTTGAGCTGAAAAAGAAACAAGAGAGCTTTAAGTAAATGACTTGTGTTTCCAGACTTCCACATAAAATTGAAATATCCTAAACTCATTCTCTTTCTGTTTTATATGACTTGATATTAAACCTTCAGAAAGGGGGACTCATTGAGAAATAAACATGATTAAATTACCAGAAATTTAAAAGAGGGAGGAAATATGTCTAATTCACAAGCTGCATATCTTTTCTATTTGAAGCACATCGAGTGTCATTCTAAGATAATTTTCCTTTAATCAGACAGGGATGTTTTATTATATTCAAGCGTTTCTTTTTTTAAATTTAATTCGTATGTTTTGTTGTGAGTTTTATCATTCTCCGTTATTTCTTTCACCGTGTTAAGTGTTAGGCTTAAAATGGTTCTGACTATAATCTTACTCCTTTTCCAGAAATAGACATTTCATGATAGTCCTTGAAATATATTTGCAGATGAACTGACTTGAACGGCTCAACCGTAGTTGATGAATTTTCAAATATCTCTTATCCAATCCTTACCAAAACATCTAAGCAGCTCTCATTACAGGTAAAGCTCTGTTGATTGGTCCACTAAATGGCTCACCGCAATAACTGCATCTGAAAAACCTTTCCATGGCATACTCAAGAAACAAACAATAAATTGTTAGTGTGAAATAAAAACAATAAATGCGCGAGATTAGTAAACGTTACCAGATATATTATCAGGCTGCAACATCGGTAGATCTGAGGTTTGAATCCTCTTGAACGTCGACCAGCCATTTTCGTTTCATAAACGTCGATCCACAAAGTTTTTTCTGCACAGTAGGTAGAGCAGGTGATACCAATATTGCTCCATCTGAGGTTTGAATCCTCACGCAAGTTTACCCAGAACATTTGCCTTTCTATACTCAACTGTGCGAACATTTTGTAGCATTGTTGACTACAATGAGGTATGAATCCTCAAGAATGTCCACCCAAATTTCTTCTTCTGCCCAGCCGTGGTAGAGCAGATGACGAAGTTTTAAGGTCTAAGGTTTGAAGCCTCATGGTCATTGACACAGCTGATTATTTCTTGTGCATGACCTTTGCGTCCATTAGCAGGTAGAGTACCTAACAGCAACATCGGTAGATCTGAGGTTTGAATCCTCATGAAAGTCGACCTGAAATTATTATTTCACACCTTTTATGTGTAATCTCATAAAAAGGTCGCCCTACATTTCGTCTCAGCTCAGCTGGTAGAGCATTTGTTACTGTAGTGTGACCTTCACAGAAGGAGCAGTACCGAAACAAGTTAAGCCTAGAACCGTACCCGTCGCACTGAGAGACGATCTCAAGAAGAAACTTCATGAAATGGAACAGAAAGGCCACATAGCGAACATTGATGAACCAACAGACTGGATTAGCAGTGCAGTATATGTGAAGAAGCGCAATGGCCAACTACGTGTTTGCCTGGATCCCAGAGAATTGAACAAGCATGTCAAAATACCAAAGCTCTGCCTTCCAACCGTTGATGATGTGACCTCCAGGCTTGCTTAAGCGCAAGTGTTCACAGTCCCAGACGCTAAAGATGAGTTTCTGCGAGTGAAGCTAGATGAGCACTCTAGCAAATTACCAACATTTCACACTCCTTTGGTAGTTACACCAGAAGATTTTCAGAGACATGTAAATGAAATCATTGAGGGCCTGGAAGGAATAACTGCTATAGCTGATGACCTGTTGGTAACTGGAGCAGGAAACACCCATGAAGAAGCCTTGGCAGACCATGACAGAAATCTGATTGCGCTGCTACAGAGATTCAGTGAGCGAAACTTCAAACTGAACAAGGACAAGTTCGTCTTCAAACAACAGAAGTTGAAGTATTGTGGTCATATCTTGACTTCAGAGGGTATTTTACCAGACCCAGCCAAAGTTGAGGCCATCACTCAAATGCCGAGACCACGCAGTAAGACTGAAGTGAGAAGACTACTTGGAATGATCAATTATCTGGGCAAATTTTTACCTCAGCTGTCTGACGTATCTGAACCTCTCAGAAACCTAACCAAGGAGCAAAACCAATCCATTTGGTCGAAAGTTCACCAAGATGCCTTTAACAAGTTGACTCAGCTGATTTCAGAACCGCCACTACTCCGTTAGTACGACTTGGAGGAAAAAGTAACAATTGAGACAGATGCAAGTGACTATGGACTAGGAGCTGTTCTGCTTCAAGCCGGCAGACCAGTGGCATTTGCTAGTCGCACTATGACTGAGACTGAGAGACGTTACTCTCAGATCGAGAAGGAATGCCTCCCACTGCTGTTTGGTTGTACACGATTTGACCACTATCTCCATAGAAGAGAAAAGATTACAGCAGTCACAGATCATAAGCCTCAAGAAACCATACTTGCCAAAAGTATCAACAGTGCGCCCAATAGGTTACAACGCATGATGCTGCGACTGCAAAAGTACCGCCTGAATATTGTGTGCAAAAAGGGAACTCAGATGTACATAAGTGATCATCTGTCAAGATCTGCCCTCCCAAACGGCCGAACGCAAAAGAAGGAAATAGATGATTATGAAGTCTTTACAATTCACGCAGAAGAACTTCCCGTGAAAGAGATCGAAGGAACAGATCCAAATATCTTTCATAACATGTCAGATACAACCCTTCAAAACGAGTAACAGCAACCTCAAAATATGGAAATCTCATGACCTTAGCTGACGTTATAGCTAATGGATGGCCTGGGGACAAGACGCAAGTACCGC